AAACCTGGAAAAGTGAATTCCCCGCCAAGTTACACCCCCCTCAAAGTGGCAGAATTTGCCACGTTGCCACTCGACATGCCTACCTTTACAAACTTGTAATTTAGCTCGTTTTGAATAGAATCTAATGCTATTTTGTTTATTGAATTTGTCATTTCTTTTAAATGTGTATTTATTCTTTTAATTTTGTTAAAAAATCACATAAATACAATAAAAACAAAATTTCGTACAAAGATAAAAAATAAAGTTTTAAACTTTTAAAAAAAACAGATTTTGTGCAGATTTCTTTGCTCTACAACATATCAAAATTTGGAAATTGCGATTTCTCGGTATCGAAGGCTACGAGCTGGAATAGGATGTAAAACCGAAAAAAAACCCACTAACTTTACACTAATCCTATGTATTTTACAATGGCGAAACTATCCGGAGCCGCTTCTGAAAACCGCAGCGGGCAGCCACAAATATCTAGTACGCTTTAAACCTTAAAAATTTGCTACTTTTATTCTTAAGGCTTTATAGTATAATGCAGTAAAATTTTTCATACGTTTGACTGATGGGTGTACTCGAAAACGCGATGCTGGAAGTTTGCCTTTTATATTCTTGTGAAAGTAATGAAATCTCCGCGAGTATTGTTCTTCTTCTGTTGTTGCAGTAGTGCATTAATTTGAGACTTGGGAGCATACAGAGAAAACCAGCAATGATGTCCGGCATGAAAGAGACACTTTCAGTCTGAATCTTAACTCAGAATGACCTTTACAAATATGCTCCAAAAAAAAAATGAGAAGAAATACTAGTGAATCCTTTACTTTCTCAAGAAAATAAAAAGCAATGAGCACTTCCAGCTCCACGTTTTTGAGCGCATTCGCCATGCAAACGTATAAAAAATTTCACTGCATAATACCACAAAGCCCTAAGAACAAAAGTAGCAAAACACAATTCGCAGCCAAAAAACAGTATTTGGCGTGATGTATATGCATTAGAAGGGTTCAATGAGCAAGCAGAGCGACACGATCCAAAAGTAATCATGGCAGTAGATTTTTCTAAAAAAATTTTGTGAAATTGTTTGAAAGTAAATAAATTTCAACTGATTTCTCTTTACTAGAGTATTAGAGTTGAAAAGTTTTACAAGAATCATACATATCAAAAAAACAAATTTTTAGTGAAAACATAGGGTTTGGGGCTTGCGGAAGCGCCAAAATGCAGCTTGGGTTAGGGGGTTTTTTCCAGTCTGCTATCACCTACCGTACCACAACTCTTGATACCAAAAAGATACCGCCTATAATTTTCGTATGTTGTATAGAAAACATGTCGTTAAAAAATGTCTTTTTTAAAAAATTTAATATGTCCGTTTCTGAGAAAAAACCGTTTTGAATTTTCGTTCATTTCACTTTAGAATAAAATTTGCTAATACACGGGTTTTACTATTCTTCTGAATCTGCAGGAGACAGGCTTTCAGAAGAAGTATTGTAAAAATTAGGTACTTCTGTTGCGAATGAAAAAAAATACAAGTTCCTAAAGTGACCATGTCGAGGGTGAATCGCATTTTTTTGACACTTTAAAATGTCCAACTTTGTCGCCAGCGCACATTTTGAGGCAAACTCTCTTGATTTTGAAATCCGGTGTCAAGTGCTACAAGTTTGAAAAAAAATCTGAGAGGTGGGGGTGCAAATCTGTGCGATATAGCGTGGAATAGCCCATATATATATATATATATATATATATA